AGACAGGAGCACGTGTCCCTCCCCCCTCCTGCTGGCCCCACTATTTCTGATACAGGCCAGGATGCTATTGGTCTTCCTGGCTACCTGGGCACACTGCTGGCTCGTATTCAGGCTGTTGACGAACACCCCCAGGTCCTTTTCCTCTGGGCAGCTTTCCAGCCACTCTTCCCCAAGCCTGTAGCGTTGCATGGGGTTGTTGTAACCCAAGTGCAGGACCCAGCACTTGGCCTTGTTGAATCTCATAGAGCTGGCCTCTGCCCATCGATCCACCCTGTCCAGATCCTCCTGTAGAGCCTTCCTACTCTCAAGATCAACACTCCCGCCCAATGTGGTGTCGTCTGCAAACTTACTGAGGGTGCACTTGATCCCCTCATCCAGAGCATTGATAAAGATATTAAACAGATGGTACAATACACTGAAATGCCAGGATGTTCTACACATTTTGTGAAAGGACTGTTTGGTTTCGAAATGTTTCATTCACTTAAACTGTAGAAGGTGTGAGATTTTCCAATGAATGTGGTGTTGGTACTAAACGCACAGATGACTTTACACTTGATCCAGTAGAATAGTCAAGATTGATTCAGGAATTCACTCACAATTACATTTTATTCCTGTACTTGACTGTTTGACAGATAAGGGTATAAAATGAAAAGATCAGCAATACTTCCATATATTTCTGTATTCAATATGGATGTGGCTGATCTCTTTTTCATTTTCTTCTAGGCCTTCTCTGGAAACACAAATGCGGACAGTGTCGTATACTATAAGCTTCAGCATTCCATTAAAGCAAGATTTCTCCGTTTTGTGCCTTTGGACTGGAATCCGAATGGCAGAATTGGAATGCGCATTGAAGTGTATGGATGCACATACCGTAAGTGTTTTGTTGAATCAGCTAAATGAAATGACTACTCATCATTGGCTTTTGCTAACTAAATTATACTTGAAAGTAGATTTCTAAGCTTAAATTTAATCTTGAATAAAACTGATTCAATAAGTTTATGTTCAGTCTTCAGTATTTCTACATCATCTAACAATATGTGATGCTTATTTTCCAGTTTTTTCTGCATTGGAATGAATGGTGTGGACGTAATCCAAAAACTGACTTACTGCAAACTCTTTTCTTGATAGTATTAAAAACTTCACCTTAACATGGTATACTTTCTACCTGAAGGGTGAAATGTAGAAAATGTTTACAGTTTTAAATATATGTGGTCTTGGTCCTGACCCAATAAGAGTACAAGTAGATAGACCCACGAAAGCACAATTGAAGGATACTTCAAAATTGTTACATATTTAAGGGCTACTTTTAGAATATTTTTTTGTGTCATTAGTAAAACAATAACTGATACAAGCATTTGGAAGACAAATGCGTAAGTGTTATGGTTGTATTGATCTACTGGACAATGTAAATCTTCCTGTTGTCTTCCTGTTACAGTTCTTCATCCCTGGACCTTGTAAAAAATACTCCTCCTAGCGAGTTGTTTACTGCTTTTTATTCTCCACAACTTTCCTCCATGAGGGAAATAGAGTTTATTTTAAGCAACCTCTTTAATTGCTTGTTTTAAGTACTTTCATCTGTTGGTTTTTGTAGGATTTTTTTTTCCCCACTTCTATGCTTAAGTCATGCTTTCCACAACTGATCTCTTCTGAACGGTCTCCATATCTCTCTCTTCTATTTCCAATCATTAGTATTTGACTTTAAATTGAACATTAGTAAAACACATCTGGGCTTTCTGCCTTAAACTTGGCTTTGTAAAATGAGTAAAAGACTGTGAACTAAAGATATTGAAAATTTCAACCTGGCTGCAGGAGATTAGGTCACCTCAGAAATTAAGTAACTGCCCCATCCCAGAGAACAGACAGTTCATGCCAGAAGAAGGGTGTGAGAAGCTAAAAGCACACAGAATTCCTCAGCGACATCTCTCTGGAGACTAAGAACATGACTTAAGGTTCCTAGAACAATCTAGTAATATTGCTGTAACTGAAAAATGTGGCCAAGATTCAACTTACCCTCCACTATTTTAAGTACCAGGATTACTAGAAGTTAAAAATGGAAGCTGAAGAGATGACTTTATAATTTCCAGCTGAAAGCTCATCTGTGTGGTACTTGATGACGGTACATTCTTCCTAACTCTAAGCTCCACTGAAAGTCGATCAGCTTTGCTTCTTCCCAGTCCTTTACCTTGTGCATTTGACAATGTTTAAATCCTTCCTCAAAGCCTTGTTCTCAAACATGTCTGAACTGAAGAGCTCTCTTTTGCACGTGCCTAAAATCTAGATTTTAATTATCTGTATTCACTACTGGAATTTTCTCTATCACACCTTGCAAGGTATCTTATGGCTCTCTTCTGTGATAATCCCTATTGCCATGTTGGCAATGGAAAATCTACGAATCTAAAGGACAAAAAGAGGACAGTGTCCATGTTACTAAAAATAATAAAACATATAGAATAAGCTGTTACAATATTTATTGTTACAGTTAAAATATTTTGTGTGTGGTCAGTAACTACGTTTGAGGAAGATTATGTATTTTTCTGTATTTTTCTTATTTGGTACAGGAACGATCCTATAGATAGCTTATGGAAACAAATCAATGATAACTATCTTCTAATATTAGGCTGAATTTAAAATGAATATTTGCTTCATCCATTATCCACTGTAATGTGGTACATAAAGCATGCAATAGTGTTAAAAGTACGGAAACTTTTTTTTTAAGCTCGTTAAGATTTTTTGTTGTGAGTTCTTGAAATGCTTATTTTTTCTATGTATAAATGCTTTCCTTCCAAATGAGTTGCAGACTGTTTATCATCTCTTTATTTATTTTGAACATCTAGAATTACCACGTGCTTTTAGTAGTTCAATTGCTGTTGAAGACAGATCAGGTGATTATAGTCTTATACTTTAAAATATATTTAAAATATATTTAACAATTTGAAAGATGAATTCTTTCTCTCCAGTCTTTTCCTCCATTTATCAGGCACATGCAGGACATGTACTTATTGTTACAGTAAACATGCTTGGCTCTTTCTGAATTGCTATGTACTTTTCCAAGCGGGACTAGAAAATAAAGAAAAGCAGAAAGGCCAATGATACCTACTTTAACTTTGATTCACACTTTCCAGATTTCCCATTTCTCATTCTTCCCTTCAGAGACATCTCACTGGGTCTTATATTGTAAGAATAAATAACTCTCTTTCCATTTACCACCGAATATGTGCACTATGTTCTGTATTCAGATACAAATGCAGTAATTTCTTCCTTCAGTCTTACCTGTTGCAAATTGCACAACTAAAACTAAAACTGCAAGAATATATAAAGTTGATCTCAGTATTCCATAAAGTGATACTGAAAAATGCATGTCTGTTACATCCAAAAGAAGTCATTACTATCTTAGTGAAGTAATACTTACAACACAACTGTTGGCACTACTTTCAAGTTGCTGCTCTGTTGTCTTCCAGCCAAATACCTGGTCTGAATAACTTAGCCTAGTATCCTCAGTCTCTATTATAAGTTTTGTTCCTTTTTTTTTTACACAGAACTCCTTTTTTACTATAAACATTTTCGGCCAAGGACTGTCACATTTTATATGTTTGTAAAGCATGCATCCAGAACAAGCCCTTCCATTTTTGCCTCTTAGCACCTATGGAATAGAAAAGCTAAATAAGGTAGTCAATTATGGGGTTATACGAAACATTAAAAGAGTTCCCCTGTATTCTTTGTGTTTAATTCTTCTTCTTCCTCACTCTGCTACTCTGCCATGTTCCTCTGTTTTCTTACTCCTGTCCTACAGTCTTTTTCATGTAAGAAAGAAAGATGTTTTCTACCTCCAGGTGAACTACCTGGCTTCATGTGGACTGATGAAAGCTGCTTGTGTCATGACTACACAACAAACACTCTGTGCTGCTAGAAAAAACCCACCCCAAAATCTCTCTCAGCCTCTGCCTGATAGTTCTTCCTATTTAGTGCGTGCAAAAGAGACTGTTGAATCTCTACAGACATGTCTTGTTCCTGAAATGTCACATTGTGACATGTAAAACACAGTTCAGGTTAAGCTATCTCCTGGCACTAAAAAAGGGAAATTAGAAACCTCTTTGGCTTACTCTTTCCTCCCTTCATTACAACACTCTCTTTCTCATTCCATCCTCTGAAAACCAGTAGGTTAAAAATAGGAAAAAAAAAGGCTTTTTCATATGACAGACAGAAAGATGGGTTTAAATGTGAAAATGGCAATTGTATAAAATTGTAGGAGAAAGATAACTGGGAACTAAACGCACACTGTACATTAAAACATCATTAGATGCAGTGTCTAACAACAAGCACTGCAGATACTGTGATATGCAAACCCTCTTCCAGAGCCCTCTAACACTGTCAAATGTGTTGAGGTTTTTTGAGCATTCCCTTCCTGTCTGGAATGCATAAAATCAATGGCACAGTTACATCAGTCAAAGAAAGGACTTGCCATCCTCTTCATAACTGGGATAATGTGCTTTTAAGGGCTTGATGTAAATGTGATTGTAAAAAAGGTCATTTTAAAGGTGGTTGATTATGATTATGAACAATTTTAACATGCCATTTTTTTTCTTTTTTTTTCTCAAAGGCTTTGTTTAAAGCAATACCTAAGTCCTGATTTACTTAACTTTTCTGAACACTATGAACATTTTCAAGTCTGCTTTCCCAAAATTGGAAAGGGCCAGAGACCAGATTTCTCATTTTAATACAATTGGTCAGGACTAAGGATATCTAAAACCAATAAAAAATGCCAAACAATTTGCATTGGTTTAAGCTTTTTTTTCTTATAGTCCAGGGACTATTAGGAGCTGAGAGTAGTTTGTAAATATGAAAGAGAAAAATGTTATGGCACCCTGGGTGTTTGGGCTCATTCTTTCTATCCTGATAACCCTGTAGGAGACCCAAGCTTTATCTCTCACAACTCTTCCAATTTATTTCCAGAGGTGATGCACAGATGGTGAAGACAAAACATATGTGAGAACTGTTATAAGCATTTTGATTAACATCTGCAGACCTTTCACAATCTTCATTCATGCATGGTGGTGGGGGAAAAGTTTGATTTTGTTTATTTTCCAAATTTGGACAGGGTAGATTTACAGCTCTTAGGAGTTAGTGTTGCAGAATAGTGAAAAGGATTTTGGAGAGCAGTGCTAAATGTTGTTTATGCTCTTGTCTCATTAACTAATAACAAGAGTATGTTCCCAATCAAAAAATGCTGCTGTTATCAGTACCTACTAAGAATATATCTAGTTAGCTGGTTTGATAGATACATAACAATGTACAAGTTCTATTATTGAAGTTTTTATTGAAGCTATTAAACTTCACATTCATTATTTAAATTTAATATTGATTAGTGCTTTTACTGTCCACATTCATTCAACGACATAATGAAGTAAAACAGTCGACCTAGGATTCATTTTTAGGTAGAATGTCACATTTATTCATTGTACATTGGTAAATGAATTCTTCATAAGTAAGAAGTACATTATCAAGATGTGAAGAAAATCAAGAAATTGTATTTAAAAACATAGCTCCATTCACTTGACAAGAATTTTTGAAAATGGAATATGAATTACTGACTTTAAGTATTATAGTTAATTTGAATTGAGTTCATTTCCATGCCAACAATGTGGAGAAACATTTTTAGTGAAATTAAATAAAGTTAGTAAATAGATAATGGATTTCCATTGACTTGCAAGAAGTCAACCAGTCAGTTGAAAAATAACTTCATGTTTTATTGAATGTCCTTTACATCTTCATTTATTTCACAAATGTATCTTTCAAGGGTAATTACCTTTTTCTTCTTTACTTATGAACTGTGAATACTCTATGAGCTTTTTATAGTGCTATCAGTTCCTTTGT